AGAATTAATTCATAATCACTGTAGAAATATTAAAAAGGCATTTTGCACATCGTCTATTGTCCTTGCGATCTAGCCCGGTGTGGCTCATAGCCACGTGTGGACAACAGTGACACGCTCCCCTGCCTTGTGCCACCCTCGGGATCGCTGCTCTGCTTGAGTCCGTTGGTGCAGTCCCTGTGTCCGTCCATCCGTCCGTCTGTCTCGTTGAGAGTCGTCCTTGTTCGCCTTGTTCTTTTACTAAGCATCACGTCCTTCCCCGGGAACTGGTCCCTGCTGTAACATGCCCACAGTGTAGGAGACCAGGTCTTGCCACCCTTGCTCATCCGGAGCACGCAAGCTGTCCTTTGTTCCGACCGCCATGGATAGTCCTGCTTATTGACACTTTACATATAAAAGGACTTGTGCAGCAGATAAGCCCACTGGAACACGTCGTTTGATTTCTTCATGACTGCTTCTCTGACTATTGATTGTGGATCCAAGTAAAATGAAATCCTCGACATCTTCAATATTTTTGGCAGTTACCATGGTATTGCTTATTGGTCCAGGTGTGAGGATTTCTGTTTTGAATGTTGAGATGTAATCCGAAGGTTGTCGTCTTTGTTCAACATTGTGAAGTGCTTCGAGTCCTCTGCATTTTCACAAGCTTGGTTGTGCTAGCTGCGTAGCTCACATTGTTAGAGTCTTCCTATAATCCCGATGCTGCATTCTTCTTCCTGGAATCCAGCTTCTTGGATTATGTACTCAGCATACAGTTTGAATAAACATGGTAAAAGTACACAGCCCGGATTTTTCCTGATCTTTTTTTAAAAATATATATATATTTTTAAAGTTTTCCTGATCTTAAGCCACACAGTATCCCCATCCATTTGAATGACACCTCTTAATATATGCACAGGTTCCACATGAACACAATGGAATGTTCTGGAATATCCATTGGTTCACTGTGATCCACAGAGCCAGGTACCTTTGCATATAATCGATAAGACACAGGTAAGCATCTTTCTGTTACTCTGCGTTCAGCCAATGTCCATCAGACACCAGCAATGATATCCCCCATGATATATCCTCTCCCGAAACTGTCTGAATCTGATGGTTTTCGGAACATGTACTGCTGTGGCCATTTTTGAAGGTTCTTCAACATAATTTTACTTGCATGTGTTATCAATGGTACTGCTCTACAATACCCACCATCTGCTAGCTCACCTTTCGTTAGAAAAGGCCTAAATATGGGTCTCTTCCGGTTAGTTGCCTAGGTAGTTATCTTCCAAATCTCTTGGTATAGAGGAGCTAGTGCTTCTAGCATTAAATCCATTTGTTGAAACATTTCTGTTGATATCCCATCAGTCCCCGAGTCTTGTTTTCCACCAGTGCAGCTTGGACTTTTTTCTTTTTTTAAAAAATCATTTTATTAGGGGCTCATACAACTCTCATCACAATCCACACATACATCAATTGTGTAAAGCACATTTGTACATTCATTGCCCTCATCATTCTCAAAACATTTCCTCTCCACTCAAGCCCCCCGTACCAGGTCCTCA